CCGTGCAGATGGAACGAGCCAGCGAGCGCTCCCGCGGGGTCCACGAGGTGCCCCGGAAACGCAGAGCAGCTGCCCCGCAGAAGGGCGCCAGGAGATCGGGCGCGGTGGAGCCACATGCAGCCGTCTGCCCTGCAGAGAGGCTCATCCTCGAAGAAGTCGTTCGAGTCTGCGGCGACTCGACCATGAGTCGGCGGCGAGCGAGGGGGGGGAGTGAGAAGAAACAGGCCTTCTCATAAGCCTTCTGGCCTGCTGAGAGGTTTTCTGTGTCTTCGGGGAAGGCTTATAAAACTTCTCAGAAGGCCGGGGGACTTCCGAGCCTTCTGAGAAGGCCTTCTCCTTCTCACTTCCCCCCAGGGCTCGCCGCCGAATGAGGGTGATGGCCACTTATGCTGCTGGAGGCTGGGCGCCACTGCCATAACAGCACAAGGGAAAATCGGATCCCTGGGAGCAGTTCTTGAGCCGTCACATCTGCAAGGACGCAGGATCGAACGCTTGAGCAGGCGCCTGCATGTCCTGCTCTGCCCCCACAGATCAATACAGAATTTGTGGACAGCCCAGATTGGGTCGGTTCGCACTCCAGCCCCCTCATTCTCTGTGTCCTCCCTTCCCCCTCGTGCCCCACTCCCTCCTGCTCGTCCACCGCGTCTTCCTCTTCCTCTTCCACGTCATCCCCCGTGCCCGCTTCCTCCGACCAAGGCCCACTACAGGAGGGTCGGCCAAAGTAGCATGAAGAGATGCTTACCCAGAACTGACTGCTACTTTCAAGATATGTCCTTCGCTGGGCATCTCATACAGACACGGGGGCCCGCAGCGCGCGCGCTTTTCCAGCACTCAGGCAGCGACTGGTCAGTTACAGAGTGCAGCTCTACCAGCAGGAACAGGAGGCCAAAGGCGCCCCCTGGGAGCAAAGTGGGGGGGTGGGACGGAGAGCCAAGGAGTGTGAAGCATGACGTGTCTGACCACCTGAGGATTCTCCTTCTCGTCGTCGCCTGGGCCCAGGGAGCAGCAACCACGAGCCAAGGCAAAAAGTTCTTGAGGGCAGCTCGGAAAACAGGCGGCGCGGAGCAGGAGCAACAGCAGCAGCCCAGGTAGAGCAGGGCTTGCCATCGCAGCGGCCACGGCAGCAGGCGCAGTCGACGCGGTGGCGTCGGCCACGTGACGGAGCTCCACAGGCGCTGCGATGACTGGCACTGCAGCTGAGGCAGAGTGGCGAGAAGGGTGGGGGGTGGAGCTGAAAGGTGCGGCTTGCATACAACGAATGACATGCACGGGCCACTGACCGGCAAGGCCTGGGGCTGCGCAGATGGCGTCCGGAGATAGCCCCCGCTGGCCTCAACAGGCCCCCCAGGGCAATCTGGGGCGGCGCGAGGGTGTTGACTCCCCGAGCTTCCCTGGATGCGTGTATTTATTATGTTGAGGCCAGCTGGCACCGCAGGCCTGCGGCGTCGTGTTATTGTTCCACGCGTAGCCCCTCAAACTCTCGGCCCCTTCGCTCGGGACCGGTTTTTCATCCCGAAAGTTTGTCGACGGCCCCAGAGTCCGAAACTAGGACGGGAATGATGCCATGATAGGATTGGCTCAGGAAACGTTACAGGATTTCCAAGGAGTATCTTGCGGCCCTCGCTTCTGCACCCAATTGAAACACTTGGAAGTTTGGGAAATCTTGAACTTGGAAACTTGGACGTCTTGCTCATCTGAGAAGCGGACCTCCCGAGGCCGAGATCTGGGGAAAAAAGCCAGCACTAAAAAAAAGTAGCGATCACGACGTCGGGGGTCTGGGACTACCTCTGGGGCCTAACCGTGCGTGGCCCCCCAAGCCTTGCCGCGCTGGCCGCCCCAGCAGGTTGCCGCCGAGGCGGCACGCAGCGGCCACGAGAACCTCGCTCAATACTGCGCGTTCTGCGGCTGGGAGCACCACGGGCAAGTCCTCCGAGCCACCCGAAGGGGGGTCCCCAGGCCTCCAGTTCTGGCCGTTGGCCTGAGGGCCCAGCATGGAAGGATGGCGAGGAGGTCCTCCTCTTCCTCCTTTTCCTCCTCCTCCTCCTCCTCCTCCTCCTCCTCCTCCTCCTCCTCCTCCTCCTCCTCCTCCTCCTCCTCCCCCCCCCTCCTCCTCCTCCTCCTCCTCCTCCTCCTCCTCCTCTTCCTCCTCCTCCGTCCCTTTCCTTTGCAACAAAAACTCCTCGCTGCCGCGCACCCCCAGAAGTGTCAGTGGGGCGGGCCAGACATGTCGCCTGAAATGCTTCACCATTTATGACCCCGAAGCCTGAAATTTGGGGCGGCCCATTTTCAAAATGTTGCTCACGCCTCAGCGCCACGCACACTCGTCTTAAAAACGTGCAACCGATTCACGAATGGAAGGCGGCTCCTTTTCAAAATGTGGTTCTCGCCTTCGCGCCGCGCACGTTCGTCTTTCAAAATTGCAACGGTTTCAAAAATTGTAAGGTCGAAGTCCCGGAAATTGTCTGGACGCAACAGTCAGTTTGATTCGCGGTGTTGAAATCCCAGTAGTGGTGTTCTGGCACGATTTCGGATTGTCACGACGCAACACTCATGTTGATTCACTGCGTGGAGGTCGCAGGAAGTGCGTATTTGGCAAGATTGAGGGTTCTCAAACGGTTGCCTTTCGGGCACGCCCCGCAATGAAAAACAAATTAGGGACCTGTGATGAGAAAACTCGGAGGGAAGGTTTATTGCAGCATCGTTGACGCGTCTTTGGTTTACCCTGGTCCTCCTCCTCCTCCTCCTCCTCCTCCTCCTCCTCCTCCTCCTCCTCCTCCTCCTCCTCCTCCTCCCCCACCTCCTCCTCCCGCGCTGTTATCCTGCGGCCCCAGCCCTCGCCGCCCCTTTGAACGGTCCCCTCGGACGCCCCTCCCTCCAAGAGCGCGCGCGCACCCAGCCGAAATTTCGTTTGCAAAACCCATGCGGCGGGGTCTGCGACGAATGTTTGGCGTTGGCTGGTGCATCTCTGCGGCCGCGCCAGCCCGGGCATGCACGCGCGCGCGGCGCCCCGTAGTTTTGGCGCGACCGGCGCGGCCGCGGTGCCGCTGACCGCTGGGAACTTGCCAGCGGGCACTTCAGTGCGAATCGACGACTTGGGCGGGCGCAGTATCATGGCGACGCCGACAACGGTAGACACGCTTATGAGTAGCGATGATGGTGGCGATGGTGGCACTGATGGCGGCCAGGCCAATGACGGCGATGACGTTGATCACGCCCGCCGATAGCAAGATGATGTCCTCGCGTCCGCGGTGAAGGTTGTTGAAGGAGTTGGACATGCGCGCGCGGCCGACGCGCGCGAACGGCCCGAGCGGTGTTATTAGACACGGATCGCGCCCCCCACCCCCGAACCCCCCAGCACGCGCGCAAGGGCGCTCGAATGAGTTCGACACGCGGCGCGAGAAGCCCATTTGGAAGGATTTGATGGCCATGTTGACAAACTTATGGTTTTCTTAAGAATTCGCAGGAGCGCGGGCGCAGGCTTTGTTTGAATACTGCCGTTGCAAAACGTATGTTTTAATATGTGTTCGAGACGCTCGTTTCTGACACCTCTCAGATTTTCAAGCGATTTCGACAGGCGCGCGAGACGACGCGCGCGCGCGTACACGTCGGCCCATCTGTTGCAAGGAGTTCTTGCGACAGCACGCGCGCAAAGGCGTTCGGGGGATTTCGATGTGCGCGCGCGAGAGGCCCGTTTGATAGCATGTTATGAAAACGTTGACAAACGATAGTCTTCTTAAGAATTCGCAGCAGCGCGGGCGCAGGTTTCTTTGAAAACCTTCTACTGCGAAACCATCTGGTTGCTATGAATTCGTGGCCCTCAATTTGAAATCCTTGCGGCGCTCGCGACAACGCGCGCGTGCACTTCGTATTCTTGATAATTGCTGATTTCTGCGAAACGAAAGCGCGCATAACAATTTCAGCAGAAAGTGAAGCGGGGGGTCGATCTCCGACCTGGCGGGGACGGCATGAATTCGGGAAAGTGAATAAAGAGGCAGAACCACATGGAAATTGCAACGCGCGAGGCCGGGCCGAGAAGTCTTGAAGGGTGATGAAGGTAAAACAGAATCTCCTTCAGAAAGGAAAAATCAATGTGGCACAATACGGCGCCGTATATGTGGCACAACATAGATGGTGCGACCTATGTTGTGCAACTGATTTTAACCAATGCTTCGACACATCCCATGCTCTTGCAAACCTCCCACCCACCCACCCGCAACTTGGTTTGCAAAACCTCTTAAGACCGACTACGGCGACACCGACGACGACGACGTCGACGACGCCGACGACGATGACGGCGACGACGACGACGCCGATGACGACGACGAAGACGACGACGCTGACGCCGACGACGACGACGTCGCCAACGAAGACTACGACAACGACGACGAGGGAGGAGGGAGGACGACGACGACGACGACACCGACGACAACGACGAGGGAGGAGGGAGGACGGCGACGACGCGAACGACGAAGAAGGAGGAAGGACGGCGACGCCGACGACGACAACGACGAGGGAGGAGGGAAGACGACGACGACAACGACGACGACGACGACGACGACCGACGACGACGCGGCGAAACAGGAGGGACGACGACGAGACGCCGACGACGGACGACGACGACGACGACGACGGGAGGAGGAGGAAGGACGACCACGGCGACAACGACGACGGAAACGACCACGACGCCAAAGAGGACGACGACGACGAACACGAGGAAAGACAGAGGACGACGTAGGCGATGACGACGACGACGACGACGACGCGGGAGGAGGGAGGACGGCGACGACGACGACGGCGACGACGCAAGAGTTCGCGCGCACGCTTTTGTTGAAAATCCGTGTTGCGAAACCTTGGGTTTTTGTTGGTTTTTTGGACACACGATTTTGAAATCCTTCCGAAACCGATGGGTTGTGAAGGATTTCGGCATACGCGCGCGACGACACGCAGGGGATTCTCGCGACGGCACACACGCAAAGGGCGTTCGACAGATTTCGACAGACGGCGCCGACGTTGATCACGCCCGCCGATAACGATGACGACGTCCCCGCATCAGCGATGAAGGTTTTGAGAGGAGTTGGACATGAGCGCGCGGCCGACGCGCGCGAATGGCCCGCGCGGTCTTATCTGACACAGATCGCGACCCCCAGCACGCAAGCAAGGGCGTTCGAATGAGAT